TGAATTCTTCAATCTCTTCTCCTATAAGTTCCTGGCTGCCATTTACATGCTCATTATCATCTATTACAGCTGTTGTAATATCTGTACTTATCGATTCTGCTGCTATGATCCTTAAGTCATTTGCTTCCATTATTGGTTGATCAGCTTGATGTTCTTGCTGTGCCTATAAATATATTAGCAGTAGTCTTAGTTTCTGAGTAATGGCATTTATAATATAAATATTTTTTCACTGTAGGCTGAAATAGTTGAAGAGATCATTTTTATGTACCTCATCAATGTCCATGTTATTGAATACATCAGTTTGCCAATGATATTGTTCAATTTCCGATCTATCATCATCAGCCATGCTTGCCATTTTTTCATCCTGTTTTTGCAAAAATAAGTTTACTTTTGATGCCAGTACATATTTGTATTGCTTATAAATGTAATCAAATTGCTTAGCTGTCAATATCTACCTTATATGGTATTCTTGACTCGTGATATTGACCACTCAGTTTGTGGTCTAAAGATTCCATCCAGGTGCTCAAGGCTCATATTATGTGTTATTTGTTTGTTAATGACAATGGTTATTATTTACCAAAAATATAACACAACTAGATTGACAAGCATATACAATTTTACCTCATTCATATCATTTCCAATTATCATCTGTGTCAATGTTCTTTGCATTCTTTCATGTAGCTGCACAATTTATAATGAAACATTGAAAATTAAACTCCTATTATGCTGAATTTACATCGCATATATGGGTGTAATTTGCACATATGTGCACTGTAATTTCTGTATACTTGCAGTATAATTTTTACCTGCCTATTCCTATCAGTCTGATCATCTTCTTGTGAGTTTCTGATTTGTTCCAGCATAAGTTCAGCGTAGTCTCCATGCATTGAAATATAATTTAGTTCGAAAAAACCTTTTTATCTTGATATTTTTGAATCTAAACCATGATTTGTTCACCTTTTTTGTATATGTAGGTATTTGAAGGGCCGCATCAGATCCATTAAGTATTTCTGCATCATAATTGGTGTTCCTATTGTGCTTATCTGTGTCATTGTAACTGATGTCTGATAGATTTGTCAACATAGAATTTGCAAATGCATTTTGTCCACCCTGCATCTATTTGAACGTATATACTTATTGACATATGTCTAGTTGCACTGTGTAAATAATTATTTAAAGTAATATTTTAATATAGTACCTAGTTAGTCCGGTACATCAGTTGTAGTTTTTCTTGCCACTTCTTTATCCCATCTGTTGTTGTGAGATCAAAGTTTGGTTCTGAGTTTTCACTTGTATGTGTATATGGTACCTACAGTAGATGATGTACATCATTTAATAATGTTAAATTTACGAGGGTTCACCTATATTTCTAGTAAGTCCATGGAAAATAGATTTTTCCTAAACCAAAACTTAATTATTAACATTTATATTACTTGAAAGTTATGCCCATCCATAGTTTCAGTGCTCTCTAATACTTCCTACTCCAGTCTCAATTTTGCCCTATTCTTTGCCTGCATTTAGTAATAAATGATGATATGTTATTAGCATAAAGTTGAAGCATCATAAATAATCAATATGTGAGATTATAGCTATTCCTAGCCACCTCTGTCACTGCACCACATTAAAACTGCTAGTTGAATTGATAGTGGGATAAGTAACAATATTTGCATGAGCCGGATCTTTAAATTGTATACATGTATAGTATAATTGCATTAGCAGTAAGTATAAGTTGCACTATGTCAAATATGCAATTTCTATATTTGTGTTTGTAATTTATTTACAATAGGAATATAGCAAAAGCATAATAGATATATTTGTAATTTTATTTGAGGATTAGTTGAGGATTGCTGAGTGGTGTGGCTGCAGAATTACTTTTAGAAATTGGCCCAGAAAATTCGATGTGTGTGTGATTTTTGTTATCTACATGTGTGTGATCTCATGCTCTCTGTTTTACACTATGCTCTCTGTGTTTCTAGCATTTTATACCACATCACAACCCCTAAAGTGTTGGATCTGCTCCTTGTACACAGTGAGCAACCAGGGCCATGCCTTGCTGTTAAAGCAAGCACAAGCAGCAGTCCATCTTTACCATCCTGACTTTGTTTATAGTTCCCATGATTACAGATTCCATGGATCCAGGTTCTTCTAGTCTTTCATCTCAGCTGCTAATTTATTCATTGTTGCTTCTTCAGAGAAATTGATTTACTAGAGAAATTAATTTTAAAGATTAGTGTACTAACCTTAGCTGATGAGTAATGAAATAGACTTGTAGTGCTTGTTCTTCGAATTTTTTTGTAATCTGATTTCTGCCCCTGTCCCCTGAGCATAGCAGAGCTTTTCCCCACGCAAAGCAGGTCTATTTTGTTTGCTTTGCTTCTTTTCTAAGTCTTATCTATTTTATTCCTATGGATTTTTTTTATGTTGGGTTGTTTTTCTGGGCTGCTGCATGTTTTATGGGCCACTTTCTCATTTTAGTTATTGGGCTCTACTGTTTTACTCTTCTGTTGCACAGAAATTACAACATATCTGCTTTACGTGAGCCTTCTTTTAAAATCAAGTGTTTTACAGGCAGCCAACAAATTGTGTGCTAGCTTATGCTAAAACGCACGATTTTTGTTCCGTTGAAAATCATGTGTTCTGCAGGCAACCAACAACCATGTGCTAGTTTGCACTAAAATACATGTTTTTTTCTCAGTTACAAATCATGTGTTTTACGGCCAACAAATAACCGTGTGCTATTTTTACTAAAACACACGTTACATTAGACAGACTCGTTAGACAATCCAAATTCGAGGGGCGTAGGAGTTCACTGCCAGATGCCGAATGAAGCGTATGTAGCTCAGTATTGATTGCCTGCGTGGAAGACACGACACGCGGCAGGAGCGGAGGCATGGGGGCTTCCACGCGGAGCACAAACGTGGCCACGTACCCCTCCACTTGTCGGTGAGGCGTCCTCGCGTGTCTCCCTCCCATATCCATGCACCGCATCCAGTCCTTGTGCTGTGCAGCCTGTCAGTAGTACTGCTTCTTTTGATTGTATTGCTTGTATTGTAAAGAAAGAAACAAATACTAGCTAGTATGGCCACTGGTGGTCATCATGCGGACGAAGCGCACCATCGTGGAGGAAGAAGAAGCGACGCCGTCGGAGAGAACTACATGAGGGGCCTCTACGGCGACGATGACTACAGCGCCAGCCACTATGGCCAGCAGCAGCAGTCGGCGGCCATGGCGGTGGCCAAGGCGCTAGCCTCAGGCACGGCGGCCTTCACCATGCTGGTGCTGTCGGGGCTGGCGGTGATGGGCACAGTGCTGGCGCTCATCGTGGCGACGCCGTTGCTGGTGATCTTCAGCCCCGTGCTGGTGCCGGCGGCCATCACGGTGGCGCTGCTCACGACAGGCTTCGTTTCGTCAGGAGGGTTCGGCGCGGCCGCGGTGGCCGTGCTGGCGTGGATGTACCGCTACCAGTCGTCGTCGGATCAGCAGCAGCATCCGCAGTCCGGCCACGGCAAGGCGCACGACGTCAAGGACTGGGCGCAGCACCGCCTGGAGCAGGCACGCGCGCACTGAAAAAAAAATGCCCGTACTGGAATCCTGGAGGTCAGTGTCACATCCATCGCACGTGCCGACATGCGATATATTTTCATTTACACACATGTCATGTAATCTTGTGTTGGCAGCAATAATAATTTGTATTATTACTGTATATTACATGTACCAACAGACGCCGATCCAAATTATATCTCTATATCTCTATAGACGGTCTGCCTTCCCTTGCGATCCCTGCGATCCCCTGCCGCTCCTCCTCCACAGCGGCGTCGACGTCATCTCTGTAAGGACCTCCACCTCCGCCGCGTTGTCTCGCCCGCCGCCGGCTCCCTCGACACCTCCCCCGAGTGCGTCGCACCCGTGAACCTTGGATCTGTCGAGAGCATGCCTCGCCTCCGGAGGCCGCGTCGGCTGCGGCGGCGGGCGCGGACGACCTTGACCGCAAGCTGGTAAGTCGGGTGCTCGCTTCTCGATTCGTCTGGTGCCTGCATGCATTGCCTCTCTGTGATTTCAGCATCTGGTATCTGCCTTGGTTCCCCGCTGGATCAGGTGCTCGCGCGGTCCAAGCTCGTCCGCGACCCGCGCTCGTTTGGGTACCGGCGCCTGCTGCCTTTCCTCAACGAGATGACGAAGAACGGTAACACCCTCTCCGATTCCCTCTAGATTCGTCTTCGTTTTGTCTGGCTCACATTTCCTGTTCTTACGCTGTCTCCTGCAATTTGGTTATATCTTCCAATAACCTTCTCTTGTCCAAGCGACATCAATTTCTGTTCATTGTTTTTAGTTAAATACATGTTACTTGACGGCCGCAGGATTTCAGCATGGTTGATTCTGTTCATGAAAATATTGTGCTGAACAAGTGTATCAAGGACATCCTTGCACTAACCAAACCAGTAGAGGATGATAGAAGCAAGTGACTATCCACAATTCAGGAGCTGGAAAATTGTACCATTCTCTTGCATCTTTGGCAGGTAACTTATATTTTTTTTCTGTTACAACTGAAACCTTCTCGATTGTGTTTACACTCACACCTATAACCCTGATATAGTTAAGGTGCAATGATGCCACTTTTGACACTGTAGCTTGAGCATACTTGCATGCAGTATAGAAGATAAATGTTTTTCCCTGCATGTGCATGTTGTATAGTGGATTTCCATGGTAGATTACTGAAAGAAATTCAATTATTCACAGTAGAATATATATGTGGAAGTTAATATCTCAATCTCTGTTGTGTTATTCGTCGACACAGTAAAGAGTAAAATCTATATGTGGTAAGCATTGTTCAAGTGAAGTTCAGATCATGTTCATCTGAATAGTTTGGACAATACTAATATGGAAACACGGCCTATCAAATTCGTAATTCTAAAAAGGGTAGGTTTAATTGCATGAAATGTGGCAAACAATGATATTCCTGCTGCAAGTACTGTATCCTATGTTGGCATTGCCAAGTAGCTATGGCAGTAGGCAACAGTTTGTTTTATCATGCTATAACTCTGTACGATCCTTACCCTTACTGTACTGGGATAGCTGCTACAGTAGTAGGTGTCTGTATTTCTAGAATGGAGCTGCACAAACAGCAAATGATGGAGTTAATAAGCTGAGAAAATTTTCCCCCCGCTTTGTACTATTCTTAACCAATGCATCAGTAATCTTAATGACAGGAAATGTTCGATACCTTTTGGGTCCTTTGTATCAGATCTTTACTCAAAATCAGGGGACTTAGCTCTATCAGTTCAGCTCTGGAATGATTCAAACCTCCCTATAAACAAGAAAAAGAAGCAGAATGCCTTGAGAGAAGTTAGGAAAGCTTTACTAAGCTGAGGTAATCTTTGTTATATTGCTCCCAAGATAGATAAATATTTATGGTATACTGCACATTCAGCATCCATGAAATAACTTTAACCATCATGATATACTTGTTCTATCCTAGATTTTCTGGCAAAACCGCAAAAGAGTGATATTTTTGTTCCATTGTTGCTTGATTCACTATGATACGAACCATCGTTGGTGTATCTCAATAACTGTTGGTGTATCTCAATAACTATTATAAAACTCTCTCATTTACACTTGGTGTTATTGCTTTTATTTATTCAGGTGTTACTGGATACATGCAGTTCATTCCACATGCAAGAGTTCCAGTCCTTCAATATGTGAGCAACCGCTTTGGCGTCTCCTGTGATATATCAATCAACAACTTTGCTGGTCGAATTAAGTCCAAAATCTTCTACTGGCTCAATACTTTAGATGAGCGGTTTGGTGATATGGTTACTGTCCCTCATGACCTAGCTAACCAACAAGCCGGTGAGTTTGATGTAGGAACACTATGTGTTGCTGCTAAGCCACGAATGATGGTTGTTTCGTTTAGACTTAGAAGTCCTAAATATTTTTAATGGGCCACATTTAAATCCTAATAGGATGTGTAATCAGTTTGATTTTATTTTGGTTGTTTGGTTGATATTAGTATCACATGGCGACTTGAGGGAGCTCAACCAAGTGAGACCTAAATAAAACAAGGGGTATTGTGCGCTAAGAAAACTCATATCTTTCTCGACCTTTCAGCAAAGATGTCCACATATGGGACACGTAACCATAATAATATTAAATCTATTTTTGCTAGACTAGGTAGGAACCAAAATGAGGTAACAAAAAATTATTTCTCTCTCCTATGGCAACGCATGGGAACTTTTGCTATAGTATATAAATATTAGAGAGGAGGAAAAAGAAAGAAATCTCTTACAACTAAAAAGAACAAAACGTGGATATTTTTTGGTGTGACATTTCTTTTATTTCATCCGTTTACGCACGCCTACCATCCCGCGCCTGTCGCTCCCTCGTCTACCTTCCCCTGCCGCTCGCCGCGCGACCGCATCCACGCCGCAGAAGGAAAGCCCGATCCGCACGATCACCGTGAGTCCACGCCGCAGAAAAGGAAACCGCTCCTGATTCAACCTCGATCTCGTGATTCCTCCGCCCGCCTCCCCATCGTCGCCCACCCGTAGCTGGCCGCGCCGCCGCCGCACCCGCCCGCAGCTCGCCGCGACACAGCCCGCACACGCCCGGAGCTGGCCGTGACGCCGGCCGCGCCCACCCGCAGGTTGCCGCGCCGACGGTGCCTGCGCCCGCCCGCAGGTGCCCGTGACAGCCGCCGCTCCCATCGCTCACGTCCCTCTTCCCCTGCTCCAAGCAGCTTCGCGGAGAGGGAGATCAGCCAGTTGCCTCCACTCACTCGCTCCCCGCTGCTGGCTGAAGAGGGGTCCATCCTCGTCTGCTCCGTCGTGCCATGCGGCCGTACTAGCAAGAGGCATACCAGGCGCCGCGAGTGAGGGCAGCCGGTAGGCCGTCAACTAGGCCGTCCTAGCCTGTGGGTGCCCTTGCCGGTGGCGGTGGCATAGGTATAGCCTGTCAAAGCTCTTCCAGATCGATTTGATTGTTGATCTACGGTTCCAGCTCCATCGCGGCTCCAACCTGCTTCCAGACGTCATTGAGCTGATTGGAGTACAGGTCGAGGGGAGCATCATCGTGGCTGACCTCCTCTTTCTCATCTTACTTAGTAGGATTAGTAGTGGGCCTGTAGCCTTCTATCTGCTCCAATGGTCTAAAGCACTTTCATGACTGTTGTTTCTGACGTGCAGGCAATCTTCAAGCCACCAAACGCGATGCGAGGTGGCATCTAGGTGTGTTCCCCACAGGTGCTGCAGCATGATCCATTCTTGTCACGTTTGCTATTGGATCATACTTTGATGCTGTAATTTTAATTTTAATTTTTTCCACGGTGTACAAATTTATGTATAGGCTGACTGATTGTGAGGGTCTTGCGGTTAAATTTCTGTGGGACTTCTGATAACTGTAAAATTTCATGCAGCCTCGATACTCTATGACCGATTGTGAGGGTCTTGTGGTTAAATTTATGTGGGACTTCTGATAGCTGTAAAATTTCATGCAGCCTCGATACTCTGAGACATTGGAGCGACATGGATTTGCAAGAAACAGGATATGGACCCTGGTTGCGGAGCATCCATCACTGAATCATGATGGTAACGGCAACAGAGTTTCTGTTGACCTTATTATACTAAAGCCATCTGAACATGATCTCAAAGTGTTGGCCACATTGGTATGCATTTCTGCGCTTATCTATGTTTGTATTCCTATGACCATGCCTACTTTTTGTTACAGTTAAGTGAGGGCTACATGCCAAATTTCTACTAAGCACTGTGTCATTGAGGTGTGTCGTCTAATGACTGAAGCTGGGAATTACATAGGAATTGAATCAAAAGATACCTAGATCTATTTTTGTGCCCTTTGAGAACAACCCTGGACATTTTCCCTGCAAACAAATACACTATGAATTACAGTAGTCCAAGGGTGAGAGCTCAGAGAGGCACATCATATGTCTACTAAATTAGAAAAATGCCACTCTATGTTATTATTACAATTTTGAAGCAAACATGCCAACTTGATGAGAAAAACAGTGTTACTTTCTTCTTTTATTTTAGAAGTGGATTGGATGGTTTTGATTGCACAACTGTATTATCCATTTGGGCTCTTATCTCTGTCCATACATTCCTGCTGCTGAGAAAAAATTGTCCTCAAATGCTATCCTCAAATGCCTATAAACAAATAATGTGCCACTACACTCACAATATAATGGATACATTTCTCCCAGTGATGTTCAAGTTTTTATGTCTTATAGGCATAATGCGATGGCTGATATGATTATGCAGTAATTTATAAAGGAATGCATTAGACAAGGGAATAGCTTCAGCCACGAAGACCCTACTTCCACACGTAAGTTCTTCCATCCTATGCTTCAGTGGGCTCTACAATGTTAATATTTGTGTCTCAGAATTAGTCAGGTATTTTTTACATAACAAATGCATAGGGTACGCAGCTCCTGCAAGGAAACGAAAAAACAGTTAAATTATGGTCTCCTGCAAGGGATGTCATATTTCAGAGGGAAAATGAGCTTTAGTGTTTGTCGAACAAAAAATGCTATAGTAAAATTAAGGTTGTCCTGACCTGCACAGTGCAGATAAAATTTTTGAAAAAAAAACATTTCTCCTACAACTATGTATCATGCACAGTGCACTTGAGATTGAGATTACACATTGATTACAGGTTAATCTTAATTACTGATTGATCGTGCTATTCTCCTTGATGTGCATTGATCTACTTTCCTAATAGTGCTCGATTACATCTCCCATTTGATTGAATATTGCCTGTCATGTGATAAAGTAATCACGGCAAAATAGAAATTAGAAAATTATTATGCTATCCATATACACATTGCATGTTTGCATGCACCAGCATATATGACAACGAGCCTCTCCTGGCTCCCCTACGCCTTGCTCAGGAAAGAGAATGGAAAAAGTCTACTTAACCCCCCCACATTTCATACATGGTCTACTTCACCCCCAATTATGAAACCGTCTGTTTTATCCCTGGAACTTTCTAAAACCGTCTATTTTACCCCTGTGCGGTTTTAACAGCGGTTGCTACAGTAACATCGGACCTGCTACAGTAACGGTGGTTTGCTACAGTACCGGTGGTTTTGGATTTCTTTTTTATTTATTTTCGGTGAATTTTTGAAAAAACATAGTAAATCATAGAAAAATCTAATTTTATTGGACTCCACATGAGTAGATCTACACAGTGAATATATAATACGGTATGCTAAAATCTAATTTTTTCTGTAATTAATTAGAATAATTCATAGCTGCAGCTTCTATGGTCCAATTATGGTGAAATTTTTATGGTACGCTAATTATTGTATGCTTGAACTATAGTAAAAATTTCGTACTCATTGGACTATGTATAACTTAGTTATAGATAAATTCTAATTAATTACAGAAAAAATTGGATTTTCCAATTAATCTAAAGCTACAAAAAAATTATACTAAAGCATACCGTATTATATATTCACTGTATAGATCTACTCATGTGGAGTCCAATAAAATTAGATTTTTCATTTTATGATTTTTCTATGATTTACTATGATTTTTCAAAAATTCACCGAAAATAAAAAAAAAGGAAATTCAAAACCGCTGTTACTGTAGCAACCGCTGTCAAAAACCGCCCAGGGGGTAAAATAGACGGTTTTGGAAAGTTCAGGGGGTAAAACAGACGGTTTCATAGTTGGGGGGTGAAGTAGACCATGTATGAAAGATGGGGGGTTAAGTAGACTTTTTCCAAAGAGAATTAACACAGAAGGAAAGAGAATTAAGACAAAATGAAAGAGAGACTGCTATCAATCCTCTGCTATAAATCATGTGGCCTCGCCATAGCGCCCACCCTCGCCAGCTGAGCTCGCCCTCGCTCGCACCGGCCTCCGCCCTCGCGCTCTCCCTCACGCACCGGCTGTGCTTTGCCATAGCGCGTCGCCATCGTCGTCGTCTGCCGCCATCGCCTTCACCGTCTTGCTGTGCCCTCGAGGAGGACTGCGGACTGCCATGAGGAGCTTCCAACATCTCGTGTCTTCCACAAACATCCACTCTATTAGTGAATCACATCCTGTTCTGATGCGTTTCTTTATTTGTTATTGCCTCCGGTGCTTGTGTGATCTGAAATCATGCCTCTTTAAGAGTCTTTGGATAGATACGTGCAGATGCTATGTGATGCGTATTGTCGTGGTAGTGGTTTGGGAATGGTTGGTCCAGTAATTCGTCATGAACCCTCTATGTTTCTGAAGTTCTTAGACTATCTGTGCCTGAAATCGAATCGTTACTGCAGCCATTTACCATGATTTGATGCTTCTGGTTACTTTGATTTGATGTTTATTGCATGTGTTCCATCTTTCCATTGAGCTGTCATGATCCATTTAGATTCAAACGGCAGTTGGGTGTGATTTGTGATGAATAAGATGCAGACCAATGCCTCATGACATCTTAATGCTCACAACTGAGAAAATGAATCAAATTTGCGGTCATGTATGTTAACAAATTAACAATATAGGTGTTCTAGTTATTTTAGAGGCCTCACATGACGTCATCAAGATAACGGGACAGAGGCACAGAGCACGTGTACAACTTTAAATCTTTAATTGTTTGCCGATCTCCATAGAATAATAGTATATTATGTTCAGACCGACTAATGTCATCCTATATATTTTTCATTATTTTGGTTTCTCAGTTGTTGATATGGGTTCTGGTTGTCGGTCGCTCAAAAGAAAGAGGGTGTACGCTGACCCGCTGTCTGCAATCACCGATACACACATCTATAGGTAACCACGTTACATTTATCTTGTAATTGATTGAGGCAATTATTTTCTGTCAACATAGGTTTGCTCGTGTGTTTTATCATTTTGATTGACACGGACGGGATTGTAGATGGGTTGAATTCCATGGAGTGGGAATGGAACACATATCTTCCATATGGGATGTGAGTGCCATGGTTTTTTGCAAAGGCAACGTACGACATCACCGTGGTGATACATATTTGCGTGTAATTTTGAAGGATGAGTAGGTGTATTTTGAGCTCATCTTTTTGGACTGTCTAATTTTTTTTCTATAGACCATTGTTATCTATCTGTTGGATCTAATATTCTTACAGGAAACCAAAATGGAAGCGGTTGCGTACGGCGACCAAACCATGAGGTTCGACCGTTTGCTTTGTGTAGGAGAATGTTACGACTTCATGAGAGTTGGCTTTGCGCCTACTCATGTTGGTCCTTTGGGCTACATCTTCCATTTATGTGCCGATTATTTTGTGGTTCTATCTCCACAAAGTATGGTTAATGCATCACCTAGAGAGCTATGGATTTGTCAGTATCCTAGTACCTTTATAGAATTCGAGGATGTATACACTCAAGCTGAGTACTTTTTTGCAGGTATACCTCATACGCCTATATTTAAAAATACATAGTAAACTGTTCATGCTTCTATCCCATCAATAACTATCGTTTGTGTTTGTAGATGTCATTGGTATAGTTGTGCATGTGTTTAATATTCGAGGAAGGGATGACGTGCGGATGCGATCGTACAGATATGTGGTGCTGATGAATGAAAGGTACTTAGAATGAAAATTTTATCATTGTTCCATGCTATTAATTTTTTATTGTTTGATGCTAATCAATTTTGTAACTCGTAGGTACCACTGCATCATAATAACTGTCAAGTATACACACATATGCCGTCACTTATCGGAATGGCGGCGAGTGGCATCAGAGTTGTGCATTTTAGTTGGTCTTCATGTACAAATGAATAGAAAGAGAGGTATTGTATCAATGATGTCCTCATATGTATTGACTAAATAAAAGTGTCGGTTATTACATTTTTTTGCTCGTGCATGATAGGCAGAGTGACCACTACTAACGATTTCAACGAATTGGTATTCAGTCCTATTTATAATCAGGCGCATGATTTTCAAAGTGAGGTTCTTTTGGGGTAATTCATTGATTTAATTTATTGACTACAACATTAACTCAAAAGTTTTTTATTTGTTTATAGGCCTACACAATCGTCTGCTTGTTGATGAAGCCAGACGTCGTCGAGTTTAAGAATTTGCTAAGGACATCGTGTCACATCTCATAGATTTAGAGAACTAAATAATATTGAAATTATTTACACGTTTGTGACACGCACTTTGAATAGATGATGGACATGAATTTAGTTTAATATAATAGTCATTTTGTGTATTTTATTGGTCAAACAGGTTTAAAATATGTGGATTGAGCAATGTTTATCTGACATATTTGATTGCTTCATTTAGTTTGTAATATCGAAGACTTCTTGCCGATATAAAATATTATTTAAGTTGTATCACAAAAAGGGTCTATATAGTAGAGTTTATGAGTCTACGGGGCCGTGCTCTTTGTGACTATTAATTTCACAAACTTTATTTTTTGATTAAATGTCAGTTTAATGTCTTACAATATTATTATCTTATCGTTCGATCCATATGTTTTTAGTACAAAAGTTTAGTTGTCCCGTAGCAACGTACGGACACGCTATCTAGTCTTTTATAAAGTTAAATCTCACTGCGAGTTTTATCTCAACACATACCCATCCACGTCACCTCCTACTGATACCTCCTACTGATAGTCATATTATCTTACTAATTTTCAATCTCTTAACGCAAGTTATTCACACCATCTTCGCTAAGCACAATTTAATTTTAACATATAAAAAATATAGAGGCGTTCATATTCATATATTACTAATTATGTTAGTTTTTTATAGTATTCTTTCCTTGCCTTCTCTTTCTTTCCTTGCCTTCTCTAATTTTAGTAAGAATGGATGTAAGAATATATAGGTTTAATTCATACATGCAAGAATTTTTTATTTCTAAGAAAGTTCCCCAACAACGCACGAAATATCCTTCTAGAATTACTCAAGTGCCTTGACTGCCTTTACACAATAATACGTTTTGTCAACTGAGCTGGAAGATATTAGCAGAAGTAATATAGCCAAGCCATGTATGTTGAATCATTACTGAAAAAATTAGGGCTGGAACCAACAGCCTTAATTGCTGGAGGCGTACTAACATGTATATGTATGTTCAGTACGTCAAAGTCAATGATCAAAGCTAGGAGTAACGCTAATTGCGTTGTTGGCGCGTGTACTCCCAGACGGCTATGGCACCACTGACATGGACGTTGAGCGACCTCACCACGCCCAGCTGCGGGATCTCCACGCACGCGTCCAGGATGTGGATGATATCCACTGGGATGCCTTCCTTCTCCCGCCCCAGAACCAGCACCGTCCGGTCCGGGAACACGAACCGATCCAGAGGCCTGCTGTGGGCCGTCTGCTCCAGCCCGATCACCGAGTACCCCTCGCCCCGCTTCCTCTCCAGGTAGGCCTTCACGCTGTCCACGGGGACCTCAGTCACGGGCAACCATTTCTCTGCGGTGACACTGCAATGCGCAGGATCCATCATCAACTGCTATCATCGTCATGTCATTAAGGCAACAAACAATCAAGCAGCCAACCAAACCTGATAAGCCGGAACTGCTTGTCCTGAAGAACGCTCTTGTCAGCGACAACCAGACCAGCTGCTCTGAAGACCTGTAAGGTAAGCACGCGAGATTTAATAGCATTAGCCCCCACAAGATACGCCAAGTAAGGAGGAATTATAGTATGGAAAAATACCTCACACGTTCTCGTCAGCCCTGCAAGATTTGGTATGCGGTCGACCAATGATGCCACCACGATCAGTTCTTGCCGGCTTTGTTTGATTGTTTCCGCAGCATGCAATCTTGCTTCTACTGCTAGGTTAAAAACTTGGTCATCTTCCTCCATCTCTGCAACCGCAACAGGCCACAGGCCCATCATCGAGTAAGGGCTATGTGTCATCATAAACCCACAACAATATAGACACCAGCAAATTTGCATGGAATACCTGAAATTATTCTTGAAATATTTTCATCACCAATGCCTGAATGACCTCTGGCGTTCAAGTTCAATGCTTGCTCGGAGTCCCTATGGGGTGTTATTTTCTTCTGGAAATCCAATACATCTTGACCAGTTTTTACCATCTCAGACCCACTCTCTTCACCCTTCTCCAAGTTGCGATGCTCGCCCACTGCGAGATCCTCATTCTTGATTGTTACTGTATCCTTTGCTATAGCCTGTCTCAAGTCCTCCCTCACATCCTGAAATAGCAAAGTTTTAGCTTGCAGCTCCACGGATGCAAATCTTTGTCTATGTTCAAAGTGCTTACGTTCAGGAACTCAATCACACGCTCCATCACTGACACTGGAACACATTCAAAGTCAGACACCTACACGGACAACAGATACTCAGAATTATACAAGCCTCAATCATTGTGCCCCTTAATAAACAACTAAATCATCCTAAATTCTGTCTTACATGAGGAACTATTAAATAGTGCTAATAGCCTAATACTAAGCAGAGAATATTTATACACCTCAGGGCGGGAGCTAAATATTCCAGAAGGGGTCCCAGATGCATTGGGATCAAAGACATCAAGGAAACCTTCGATTGAAACTCTAAGCCTGAAATCAGAAGACAGGAATTATAGACATTGGAGGAACAAATGGAGTTTACCAAACAATTGGAGGTTTGGATCAACAAATGGGGCTTTACCTAGTATGTGTAAAGAAACAAGACCAAGGTTCAGAATCCAGACAAACTCCATATGTCAGGACAGCACAGCCAAGACCACTATTATAAAAGAAAAACCTAGTATGTGTATTACCTAACACAGTCAGAATTTTCTGCCAGGTAATCTTTCAATTCTTGAAAGCACCTCCTCTCAAAGATTGCATCTTCTGAAGTTTCGAGATGCAGAGTAGGCCACAACCTCGATAGCACTGAATGGACAAGTAGCTGCATAAAAAATGGATCTTCAGTTTCTACGTTTCAACAAAATTTCAAATTACATGGTTTTACCTGAGTAAAACCGCGTAAACTGTGATGATGGGATGTTAAAAACGGCAGTATCGGAGGAAGCAATTGATTCAGGTGGTATATCTGGACAGACTGTCTTGAGTGAAGTATCACGTTTGCTGCTATAAAAACATATGAAGACAGTGCCTGCACAGAGGAGACAGGTAAATAAACAGAAAGAGTAGAAAGACTATCTGAGTATCTGACAGAAACTTTCACCTGCTGTCGCATCCCTTTGTCATGAAAAATAGGAATAAGTTGCTCCTCTGCCTGTGCACGAAAGTGCATCAGAAACATCAACACTTACGGATGATAAGACTGTACGTGTTGGAAATCATGTGTATATAGGTGCATGCTAGTGTCTAGGTTCATAGACTTTACTAGATAAATTCCAGCATCAAGTAATAGGAGTAATAGGCTATAAATAGTAGTTATTCTCAGCATTTAATAGGAGATATGACCAGACTAATTGTAGCTCGGCTGCCTATAGAAGAGAAAAATCAGAGAAGACTGTCATTTCAGGCACCAATCCACTGTGTATTGTGTTCCTGTGTGAGTGTGTTTCCTACTTTCCTGTGACCTGTTGAGGGCTGCTGGCCTATCAATTGGTATCAGTAGGGGTCCATAGCGGGTTATGGCACTTCTACTCCCTCCCCTGTCTGTCCTATCCTATGGGTGCTCAAGGAGGCCATGAGGCAGTGGTACAACGGGCGGTGAGGGATGTGGGCGGTACTGATGGACGTGATATTCAAAGCACGTGGCTTTTGGGAGGCTGTGGATCTAGGCTGCACAGAGCGGCTCGAGAACAGGATGGCAATGGAGGCACATCCTCTGATCGCGCCCGCAAGGCGAGTGCACATAAGCTGAGGAAGGAGTATCTACTTCTGTGACAGCGAGTTAATCGACCGTCCACCAATTAGAGGTCATCGGTGATCCGATCAACGACGCCAAGGTCATGGCCAAGTATTTGCACATTGTGCCGCTCAAGTTTGCACAAATTGAGCTCTCCGTCGAGATGCTCCTTGACATCACAACACTGTCGGTCAAGGAGGTCATGGGAAGGCTCAAGGTGGTGGAGCGTCATCATGTTGCCAAGGTCAACTACGGGTGGAATCAGTTGTACATCCTACGCCTCGATGTCATGCGCATGGTCTACCTCCTGGTGCAGCACAATGACAACATGTGGCATTGGCATGCCCGCTACGGTCAAAACTGCATAGGTCTAAGGTCCGGCCTCGGTCGTGGTCGTTCTCACATGGGCTACAATGCCGTTGTGTATGAGTGGGGTAGGAAATCGGGGGGTTTTCTCGACTTGCGTGAGGTCTTCTTAGCAAAATGCCTCGGGGCTATCTTAACCACAACCCCCCCGACAGGTCGAGTTTTTCTTAACGGTCAAATGAGCTTCAACACGCTACGTCGGCTTGACCACCTGGGCATGGTACGTGGCTAGCCGCGGCTAGAGCACGTGATGCGTGATGCCTAAATGAAGCATCACAAAGCTCTATTCCCAGCCAAGGCAAAGTACCATGTGGACGATGTCCTCGACCTCGTCCAAGGCGACCTCTATAGCCCTATCACACTGGCAACACCCGACGGACGCCGGTACTTCTTGCTATCGATAGATGACGCTAGTCGCTTCATGTGGCTAGCGCTTCTTGCATCGAGTTAACACTTAACAATGTCGATCCCAGATGCGCAGCATGCCATCCTTGATATTCACTAGTGAGCCACACTCATCGAGTTGGCCAACATTGATGATGTTCTTCATGCGCAAGACGAAGAGACTTCAGAGAGCGCCTTGTGCTCGCTGCTCTTCCCTACAAACAACACTTTGCCACAACCATGGATCTTGATTGATGAGCGGGCCATCACCGAACCGTACGGTCGGTTGCACCGCGCAATCGAGCTAAGACATCGCTGCATCCCGTCATATGGCTGGTGGCGCCGATGTCGAGGTACCAACCCTCCTAAACCTCATCATTGTCCTCGACGAGGTACACTTGGGCTCACGGTTCATGAAGGTGGACGGTTGTCAAAGTTGGCACAGGGGCGTTGTTTAGTGCCAGAATTGCGCCATGAGTAGCGCAGGCTCATCATCATCATCCTACACAAGGTGCTTGGACAGGATCAACAAGGACCTTCAATTGGTGGATGACCCCAAAGAGGCGCATGGCAAAGTCATCGACTGACTCACCGTCATTGAATGAGATCAAAGAGGTGCATGGCAAAGTCATCGACTGACTCTCCGTCATGGAATGAGATCATCTCGTACTCCTTCCTTAGCCGTTGGGCACTCGCCTTGCGGGCGCAATTAGAGCAGGCACACATCATCTTGATCGCGGCCCAAGCCTGCTTCACCGTCTTCCACAAGCATGCACACCATCTCCGGCGGTAGAGATCGAAGGATGGCCTCCATTGCCATCTTGTCATCGATGTTGTCCACACTAGATCCACGGCCTCCCAAAAGTCACGTGCTTGGAGCATCACCTCCATCAGCACGGCCCACTTGACATAGTTGTATTGCATGAGCATCGAGTACATGCCTCCCACATCCCTCACCACCCGTTGTACCACTACCTCATAGCCTCCTTGAGCAGCCATAGGTAGGTTGGGAGGGAGAAGTGTCGTCACCCAACATGACCCCTGCTACCAACCAAGAGGCAAATGGCCCCTAAACAGATCACCAGGAACACACACGAACACAATGAGTTTGGTGGCTAGAATGACTTGGCCTTTTCTGATTTTCTCTCCTATATATAGGGTGTGTTTGGGACCACAATTGCGGACCGCATGATGCGGTAAGCCTACCGCGGCCGTCGCACCGCGGCACAAAAAACATCGAAGCTAGTTCATTTTTGCGGTGCCGATGCCGTATGTGGTGAAAAGAATCGCTCGCGCCGTGGGGCGTTTGGCATGATTCTTCGCTTCTTTTGACTGCCATCGTAGAAAACATGGTCCCAAACACGCCCATAGACATTCCAACACTGTTGAGGGCTGCTGGCCTATCACTACGGATATATAAAAGAGTGTGCATTAGTAGCATATTTCTACAGCTGTGACGTGAAGGGAGATCTCACCAAGGTTGGAAATTTTAAGTATAAGAGTATAGCACACGTCTCCAAGTACTGCCGGACAGCAGGCAAATTATTTCTCTGCACAAACATCCAAAATGAACTTTCAGCGATGCAAACAATCATCCATCATAAGTCATAAGTAAACTAATAGTCCACTCTCCACTCATACAAGCACAAATAAATATTGAAAAATCTTACATAAAGACAAATGTGAATGCTAGATGTCACTTCTCCAACTATATCATCTTCTACATAGTGCGATAGAACACATATCATTTGCCACACACGAACTTTACGCCTATGTACCTAGCGAAATGTAGAGATTTTAGAAATATGATACAAAATATCAGAGATATTAATAGTCAAGGTGTAAAACCAGCCAAAAATCACACAGAATAAAAGGCTCACACTGCTATATTTCTTGTATAGTTCTTTTGAAAGATCTTTGTTGTTCACCTGTTGGAGAAAAGTGTAAACCGCAAGAGTCAGAGCACTACTAATTTGTGAAGCTTGAAGTGCTTTGGAAGTGAAGTAAAAAAATTTGTAGGCAACTCGGAAGGATTTGACCATATTATGGAAAGGTGCTAACTGGGATCAGGCCCATTGCAGGTCAAAGTTAAAATGCACAAAAATATCCAAAAGATTCAGCACAATAATACCACACTAGCTGTCGAATACAAGATGCTGGCCAGAAAACATCAACCTCAGGCAGCATTATCTAAGATAGAAATGTATGGTTACATATAAAATAGTTATGAATATGAAAACACTCAAACAATACCGCGGAATCCAGAAGTTCTAGTAGAAATAGTTTGCCACATTCAAGAGCTTCTTCAGTTTCCAATATACTCTTTTCTTTGATTTGTTTCCAAAGCTGATGAAAGAGAACAGCAACTGAAACACGAGCGTATAATTCTGTATTAATGAACACCTGCAATAACATTGCCAATTGTAATAAATGTGAAATGATCAAACTTCCCATTCATCTGTAGTATTAAAAAAAAAAGGCTCAGCAACTGGTATCCTATCCCATTACATACGGATGTTTGTTCTAATAAAGGTAAACAAATTAGGAATGCAATACCTAGAATCGTAATTTCAAATAAGGTTACCTCTGTGAATTCACGATCAGGACTTTGTGCTAGCATGGAAACCTCAAATCTTGCTTCATGGTTTTCAGAGAGTTCAGCTTCAAAATCTTCGTCGAATGCCACTATTCAATATATATCAAGTACTGATTGAGTGAATACAATGACATACATCAAAGCATATTATAAGAAACAACAAGCACATTGGAAAAGGTGAAAATACTCAGAAATTAGCAGGAAAGGAATTGAAATAGCATACCAGATCCATATAACGAGAGCAGCTTCAGTTCCTCCATATAAAATCTAAGAGTTTTTGGGTACATCAACCATAGACCACTCAAATGCAAAGCTGCTAGGCGAATAGTTCGAGGACTTTTTGAGCCTTCGTTAAGAAGATTCTCAACAAACTGAAGACAGATAGATGAATTAATTGCATCACATGTATCAAGGAAAGCTTGGTACTAAAACACCTTTGTAATTCTAAGTGAATTGTACTAAGAAGGTCATGGGCAGATCAGAAATGAACATGTAGCAACAATGCAAGAAAAAGAGAGAAGACAGAAGAATGATTTCCTTATTCAAGGATAGCAACAGTAACAATGCCTTTTAGTCCCTATCAAGTTGGGGTAGGCTAGAGCTGAAACCAAAAAGAAATGGGAAATACGCTACATATCTTGGGGGGTCTAAATACTGTTCATGGTTCAAGCAAGTGAATAGCTGATTTCCTAGTGCTCTTATCTAAGGACAAAAAAATCTAGGTATATTACTTTTCTTTTTTCTCGACATAGGAGAGCTGCGAATCATTTCATTAAGAGGATGAAAATACAAAACATGAAGACAACGCACACAGCGACACAAACTCACTAACACACGAGGCAGACGCACAAACAGGTGCATGGACCGCATAGAGCTATAACCAACACAGGGACTAGTATTAATACCACCCTTTCTGCAGCATGCCAAAGAGCACCCTCATCTGCAGTTGTCTGAATCAGCAGGTTAAACTCTAGGTTTCCACTCTTACAAATCCCTGTTCTATATCCATATAGCTACAACAAGTTTTAATTAGTGACACATTATTATGGCATATTTTCATATCAACAGCCCAACAGTCCACACCATGAAAGAGGTAACAACTATTTCCCTCTTTGCTCACATCTTTTAGGTAAGTAGGTAACTTTATACAATATGCATGCACCTAAAGTCCATAGTGCAGACTTCATATATTGAAAAGTAGCCACCTCCGCAGAACTAACAAACAAATGCGCACAAAGCAGCAGATCAGCAGTTAAACATTTGTGGATGCTGACCACTCAGTTAAAGAACAAGAGTGGTGTCACATCCAAAACAGTAAAATGTGTTAAAGACGATATGTGACAACTGACCCATTTTAAAGGGCCTGGCCCTTTTTCATTTGTCTGGTGCATTTCCAAATTAGAAAATATTGCTGGGTGCAATATTGCAGATAGTAGTGCAGCAATGGGAGCCACTCGGCGTTTGTTGCAGCTAAGGTGCAAGATCCAGGAGGACTTTGCTAATTGCATCATCATCTGAACAGAGATAAAAGATACTGAATGGCAACTGCAATTAAAGAAGCCAGCAAACAAATTTATAAAGGAAAGAACTAACAATAATGTAATGTCAAGCTAGCATCTAGTATTAGGTTGTAAACAGCTACTCCCTCCGTTCCAAATTATAGATCACTATAGTTTTGTCCTAAGTCAAACTTCTCTAACTTTGACCATGTTTTTCAAAAAATACATTAACATCTACAAGTACAAATAAATGTGCTATCAAGACATTTTTCTTGGAGAATCTAATGAAACAGATTGGATGTTGAAACTTTTGGTGCGTTTTCTATAAACTTGGTCAAAGTTAGAGAAGTTTGACTGACAAAGCTAAAGTGACTTATAATATGGAACAAAGGGAGGATACTTTGGGAATAAACAGTTACACAGAAGAGAGAAGATACCAACGAATAGTACCTCATAGCTGATGCCTAAAGAGGTAAATTTTCTGTTTCCCATATTCAAGTGTAACAATCTCAAAACAGATCTCACACATCTCAGGATAGATAAGACAGAATTTTCACCAGCGTTTTCAAGGCTGCAAAGATTAAGAAAAGACAACTAAGTACAGAGGAAATCAGTGCATCTCAGGATAATCTAAGTTGAAGAATTAGCAGACAAGAAAAACTTGGAATGATAAGTACATTAACTGTGTTCCAACACAGGACCAATTTGCATTACAAAAACAAATCAATAATTTGGATTAGCACTTTTAGTCGCCCCTCTAAATAACATAGTATTGAGTTCAAATGTTCTAGAATGAACAAAATGGGTATCCAGTTGACATAGGAAAGCTACAAATTTTTAATCAACCTAACAAAAAATAATACAAGAAAGTTACAGCTTTCAGTTATGCAAGGCTCCCCCAAATAAACAGGTAACATGTCATGTGGGGCCAACAATACAGCCACCGGCTCCGGGCACGAGATACAGCCAGGGGTGCTCTCCCAAGAGCATGCGCAGGCAGAAGGAGCCCGAGGAGGCCCAGGTGGCTGTGATCAATAGCATTTAGGAGTTAGTTGGGGATTAGAAGTTAAGGCTGGGCAAGAATCAAGGTAGCATTTAGGAGTTGGTTGGGGATTAGAAGTTAAGGCTGGGCAAGAATCAAGGAGCCAGACTCCTATATATATCATGTAATGAGCTGAGATTGAATCAAGCAAGAACAAACATATTCCTAATCTCTCTATTCTCTCTTAATCTCATCCCCTTCACCATAGCGTACAGGGGAGAAACCCCACGCCATTATCAACCCAAGCTACGAGCTTTGTAGTCGAGGGCCAGCTACCTTGAGCACCAACACCCTTGACATAACAGAGTACTGAAATGAGATTGTATGCCATTATGAATGTAAATTGAAGAAATCATAGAGCTAAAATGTAACACAGTCGTACAAAGCTCACCTTTCGATAACATCAAGAAAAATGCATTGGAGGGTTGAATCAGAAAATAAAGGTTCCAATCTCTTCACCTGAGATTCGTTGTCACTATAGCAGCCCGAAATGGATAGAAGGGAATCTATACAAAGCCACTAAAATGAAAATTAACAATTAGGAGCCATCCGAATTGGTTTCTTTATGTACTGCAGAAGGAGGCAAGATATTATTCTAACCTTCCAAGTCATCAAAACAGATCTTCTGCTTCGTGTCAGAGTTCCATCTGTAAGAAGATGGTTGATGTTGTCAAGGAAAGTGGTGACCAAAATGTCCAATGAAAACTCGCAGGCTTGATCTGTCTGCTTTGCTTCCACAAATTCCAGAAACTGAGAACTGCAAGCAGTAGATAGAGCTGCCAGAACATAGGCGAGAGCTTCATAAGCTGCCAGGTGAAGTTCAGCTCCAGTCTTATGCAGGGAAAAAAAGAGAAAGGCTGACTTTAGAATTTATGTAAAGAAAGCTAACAGAAAGACATTGAAAAAGAGTGATTAAGTAAATTAGTAAAATGTTGTTTAAAAATAGCAGCATACCTCAGTGGCAATAGTGGAGTGATGGGTAACATTCAAATAGAAGTCCCATAGCATGGAAAATGCAGAAGAAACAGAATCACCGGAGCAGTAATGGTTACACCATGAGGCAACAGAACTAACACATCGCACTGACCAAATCTGTGAATTAGGAGATGGAATTTGTCAAACCAAAGCAACTGCATGTTGAGGTGCACTTCAAAACAGGTAAAGTAAGAACAGGTGTGTTTGGTTGGAGGGATATTTTGAGATGGGACAAGATCATCCCAATTTTAAGGGTGCATGGTTGGAGGACATGGGTGGATGGGATGGTCCTCTGAAGAGAATATGCTCTCAGATCTGGGACGAGCCAATCCAAGAATATCAGCCAGACCGATTCATCCCCATCTCTCTTCCTCTAGCACATGACTTGCATGCTGCACTGCGATCACCGTTTCTTTCCGTCAGCTCACCTCTCCCCATCTCTCTTGCACCAGCACGGCGGCATCCTCATCCATCCACAGGCACCATGTAATCCTCCCTTCTCCATCCAGCTTTTGGATTGTACCTTGCTCCCGCCTCAGACCAGATCCAAGCACAAGAGAGAAGCAGATCCCGTCAGTGGCCACCTCTGCCTTGCTGCTTGTACCGGAGAGATCCATTGGACAATGCAGATACTAATTCATCAATAACCTTCCTCGGTAGCCTACTAGCATGTTATGGTTGCTGCCTCGGCTTTGTTCGGACGTTTTGTACCATCGCAAGGACACAACCATGCAAATGCAGCCAAAAAAAGGCACCACATTGGAATCACCAACCTTACCTTGTTCCATTTTGGTGGTCCCTGGCACCACCCCATCCAAGCGTTGACATGGATCAAGCATGTGCCGTTCGAGGAGAAAACACAATGAAAGTGTTCTTGTTTTTTTTATCTTACGTTTTTGTCTAAGCATTATAGTTGTTTTTCCAAGGTGATTGTGTGACTCTATATTTTGATTCTTTATGCAACAATGATACTGCTTATATGGATATTGTATAACATTGTCTTAGAAAATGGATATGTATGGAAACTTGCACTTTTTGTGTCATGATAATAAAGGTAAAGCTCACCAACTTTGGGAAGAGGTAACCATATCCAGTTATCCATCTTACCTACAATCCATCCATCCAAACAAGAAACTGTATCATCCTAATCCTGCCTATCCCTCCTAACAAACAAAGAATCAGGATCCCAATGATGCAACCAAACAGGCAACTGGGATTATCCCATCCCCCAAAGTAGGGATGGCTCTAACATATCCCACCTTGCCCTCAAACCAAAAACATCCTATGCCACCCTATTACAAGGGATACATTAAATACAATCACCAATTAGGTTGCACCCCGTATGTCAACTTGTGGATAATCCAATGGAATGGAATCAGTTTTGTGTCTAATGGCCACAGTTGAATCTCATTAGCTACATATTTAGTGGATTTGTTGCTGATCTCCCAGGATTTGACACGGTAATCTCTCAGTTGCTGGACCTTAAGGATGTTTATAACAGCCCAGTGCACCCTCAGTGGGCAAAGTTAAGAAGAAAATTACCAGAAAGAAAGGTGGTCTAGATATGCTTCTTACTGGACTCTACCTGTACATATAAAGTTTCATGTTCATATTCATCCAATGTAAGGAGTACCAAAAAATAGGAAAATTATGAGAAGTGATTAGGGGGAAAAGAAAATGACAACTGTTACTATCTACAGAAAATTATGACTTTCTGTTTTCTCCAAACAGGTTTTTAGTTTTGAGCTAAAATATCAAAGGGAGGGTGATGGTGACACTACAGTTGGTTGACTATGTAATGGTGAGACTGACATGTGAGCTCAAGCTAGCATACAACAGTACAAAGCAAAAAATGGCGGGTTAGTGAGGCAATAACCCTGTGTATTGGTGGGTCTCTGAAATGGACACAATAGTTGGTGGTTTTGTGACTATTAGCCTTAAAATGTTGGTTGATCTGTCAAATTTACTCTACTATAAGGGATCACTGTGCACGATTTTACTGGAGAAATACCAGGACACCAGCAGATCACACCATCGTATATAGGATGTATTCTGTTGCAGAGTACACGTCGCAATCGCTACTACTGCAACTAACATTAGAATGAACCCAAATTGAAGGGTGGTAGAAAGGAAAACTTTGTTGGACTAGCACAGCAGACAAAACATCAAAGATAGTTGTAATGCAGTATATCTGAAAGATTATGTGAAACATGTCAAATGGAACCTTTTACACAAAGCAAGCCAAAGAAAAAAGCAGGACAGAACATACACCCTGCAATACTGAAGAAGTGATAGAGGTAGCCAAACGACGCTGACTTGGGCCTCCAAGCTTTCCTTTGATAGAATGGGGTAAATCCTTGTTCTCCACATCTCTAAACCAGAAAACAGAGCAAGACAGCTTGCTGAAGGCCACCATATTTTCCTGAGATAAGATTTAAAGATAGCAATTATAGAAAGGCTGACACACAAAGAGCCCTCAGCGATGGTTTGGAAAAAAAAAATTAAAGAGAGGGTTACCAAAACAAGCGAAAGTGATTCCACGAGCATTTTGTTGAGATCATCAAGCACTAATCCATTTACTCGATCTGAACCTCCTCTTAAGATTGTATTACTCTGGTAAACGAGCTTTCTCTGCCTCACCTCAAGTTCCTCAATGAAGCTTAAAACAATGATAGAAAATTTTGTGGGTATGAAATCTCCACTGGAACATTGCTCAAAGAGCTTGTAGCCATATGCCTCTAGAAACTGCAATGAAAATTACCTTTTTGAACCAAAGATAAATTGAAACACACAAGGGCAATAGAAAAAGGAATTGCATAGCTGAAGTTCAAGATCCAAGCACAATATAGAGATCCTATTGTTTTACAAGTATATATACAAGCAAGTGACAAGAAAAACAAACCCCAAAGATTCGCTTCAAATGTTCCTCCTCCGAGGTTACAAGAAGAAGGGTTCTAGCCCACCTCCTTGCTTCAGCTTCCCATGCATCCACATCCTCGTCATCAAAAACATTCGAACCTTCATTCTGTTTTTGACTTACGAAGGTGGCAGGGAAATCAATCAGCTTACTCAATAAAGTGTTACCAGCAGAACATTCTTCCTTCTGAACAAACCATTTCTGAACTACTACTCTCAATGGTCCTACAAGGACATACAATAGCAGTGAGAGCTAATGTTAACACAGCACTGTAGATAATATCGATGGAGATACTTAAAAAAGGTTCCTTTTCTCTTGTGAACTTACCAATATAATCAGTGAACTCTCGAGGAATTGTAGCAATGAAATGCAGAAGCTGGTTAAGTGGAATTTCAGTGGCACTTATCAGTGATGTTACAACTTGGATAACCTGTTCACAAACTACATTGGACTTCAAGTTAACAAGTTGTCTATTCATAACTGTCACTTATCAAAATTTCTTGAGGAGAAAGAGATGAAGAGTAGAACCTTTCAGACGATACTTTGGATTAAAGTGTTGTTTACTCCTCTCACTAAGAATCCATAAGACATCTAACAAATCTGTTAACCTAACTTCTGTAGGCACACATCCATCACATTTTGTCGCTGCTTTCCCAGATATAGCACATGGCACATCATTTGTCTCTGACTGATGTGTGCACGAAGCAACACAGGATGCAAGAGTCATTAATCCTGCTCGGCCAAATGAATATTGCTTAGCTGCAGATGCCAGACTCCAAACCAGATGTATGCGGTCACTGTAAAGAAGGCATGCATGCAACAGAAGTGGGTCAGCAGCACACTGCAACTGCAAGAGCTCAGTAATTGAAACCAAACCAAACTAAAGAGTAGCATGTATGTCACCAAACAACATAAATATCCCTTGAAGACACAAATACAAAGTCCTCGCAGCCCAAGCATGTGCATGTAGGCTAAACCAGTATAGTGCATACAAGGCATTTTCTGTTATCTGTTGCTATAGTGATGAAAAGGCAATATTGAAAGGAGATCTTCATTAAGACAGGAATGCAAGGAGATTCACTGTTGGTCCCTTGCTGCCCTACACAGGTAAGCAACTAGCTTACCAGCACACACACTCACTCACTATGGCTAGAGGTAGAAGAAGGGGTGAGCACAGCACACACACTGCAGAAGCTCCAGCACTGGCCAAGGCTCTGCTTCTGGTTGTGGCAACTGAACTGCCTTTTTCATTGCATAGAGGTAGAGTATATACAACTCATGTACCAACTATAAGGTACACATGAGCATGGCTGAGTACATCCCCAACTACTCCTAGTACTAGCAGTACAATTCCTACCTCACCCCACTACCAAGACATGGCTGATGTATTAGCTACCAACTAATGTACTAGTGGTGGCCTATTGCCTTACTACTACAGCAACTAGTGCCGCCCTATTCGTTTGGCTGATAAGCCATGGCTGAAAGTACTGCTGGCTGATTTGTTGTGAAAGAAAAATATTGTTTGCTCGCTGAAAATGTACGGATTATAAGCCAAGCGAACAGGGCGTAGGACAGCAGAGAATGACCTATTGCAAAATCTGTTGTGCAGCAAACAAAGAGAGAGAGATTAGCAGCAGATTATGTCTTACATTCACTAGTTAAGCTCCTTTCATGACACAACATATGCATAAACAACTTTTTCAATAGATGTAAATGATAGACAATAGCCTAACAGGCTTAGATTCCTTGAATTGAGTTTACAGAAGAGATTACATATAAAAAGAGAGGAGGAGGGTGACCCAAAGGGCCAGCCGAGTCCCAAGAGGCCAGCCGAACCCCAAGGGGCCAGCTGGGCATTAACTCAGCACAGCTAGCTAGGAGATTACACAAGTAACTAGGTGATTAAAGTAAATAGCAATTAATTCTAACACCCCCCCGCAGTCAGATCGTCGGTGGAGCGAACGTTTAGACTGGAGCGAAAATCCATGAAGACAGAGGAAGGGAGCCCCTTGGTGAAGACATCGGCGAATTGCGACGTGGTGGGCACATGAAGAACCCGGACTGCACCCATGGCGACACGTTCACGGACGAAGTGAAGGTCGATTTCCACGTGCTTGGTGCGCTGATGTTGAACGGGGTTGGTGGAGAGGTAGCAGGCGCTGACATTGTCGCAGTAGATGAGGCATGCAGAGAGTGATGCCGTGAGCAAGAAAGAAAGCACGAGAGGCGGAGTTGTCAAACTTCGCGACCGTTGTCACATTGGACTGATTTAATGGTGCAGCCGAATTGGGTAGACACATGAGCGAAGAAATTAGAAATCGTGGGGAATGTATCGGACTTAGCGCGAAGGGGAAAAGTCCAGAGGAAATGAGAGCAATCATCAAGAATAACTAAATAATATTTGAAACCAGAGACACTAACAACAGGAGATGTCCACAGGTCACAACGGATTAAATCAAAATTCTTGGCTGCTCTAGATAGCGAAATAGAAAAAGGGAGATTTAATATGACGCCCAAGTCGACAAAGGCGTGGCGAGGGAGTCATCTTGAGCTTGCTTGCAGAACAATGGAGGAGGACTGTGCAAGGGATCAAGAGTGGCCTTGCTGGGTGACTGAGGCGCTGTGCTGTAGTTGGTGAAGGAGTGGTGACAAGGGCGCAGGAGCCAGTGGTGGATGAAGGGAGCTGAAGAGTGTAGAGAGGCCCCATGCTGTTACATCGGAGGAGGGTGTTCCGGGTACGGAGATTGTCAGTAGTGAATTTTCGAACCGAAAGGAGATTTCTGATAATGTCGGGAGCTACAAGGACATTGTCGAGGCGAAAGGGTCCAGGAAGGACAGAATAGCCGGTGCCAATAACAGGGAGGGTGGCCCCGTTGCCTACGACAATGGAGGAGGGAAAGGAAGAGAATGGTGTAGCGGTGACCATACCAGGGTTGGCGGTGATGTGGGAGGAGGCGCCCAAGTCGATCACCCAATCCGAGGAACTCGGTGGTGGGGTGAGGGAGACGGTGCTGAAGGCGCTAGCGAGACCCTCGGGCGTCCAGGGCGCCCAAGCAGGAGGTGCCTGAGGGGGCTGCGGGTAGTAGGACCCGGAAGCCGGTGGTGGAGCGAAGTATGCCGGTGGCACGCCGGCCACCAGAGCCTGTTGCAGAGGTGCAGGCTGGACTGCGCGTGGTGGAGGGCCGAAGGATCGATGGTTTAGTCTGATACCATGATAGACAATAGCCTAACAGGCTTAGATTCCTTGAATTGAGTTTACAGAAAAGATTACATATAAAAAGAGAGGAGGAGGGTGACCCAAAGGGCCAGCCGAGTCCCAAGAGGCCAGCCGAACCCCAAGGGGCCAGCTGGGCATTAACTCAGCACAGCTAGCTAGGAGATTACACAAGTAACTAGGTGATTAAAGTAAATAGCAATTAATTCTAACAGTAAAGACACTAGAAGATAACAAAAAGTGTATTGCTTTTGAACAAAAAAACTCAATTCCACAGTCAGAAGTATCAAAACACTCAACAAGAAATAAGAAGGCAGTAGTTACCATTTCGCCAAGTTCTGGGTATAAGTTCTGAAAAATCTCTCTACATCTTTTATGGTTTTCGAATTATAAGCACCCCCAATCCCTAAAAGCGGTTTAGGAAGATAACTCAGCATTTATAAAAAAGAATGCACTATTGAACAATGTGACAAAAGAATTGGATGATAAGAAAGCAAGGTAAAAGACTAGAGCCACAATACTGTGAGCAACATGACTCCCTAAACAAAAGTAGGTGTGATGTATTTACCAAAGTTACTTGATGAGTTCTCTTTCTTACTTGATGAGTTCTTTTCTTAAATTCAAAATACAAGCACATAAAGTGAAATGTCTACCTGGGATAAAATCAATAAGTTGGACAGGAAGGACTGATCACTGCCAAAAATTTCATAAACTAACAAATCTCCCCCCAAGCCCAAGTTCAGTTTGAAATAGAAACATAACTTTTAAATCATATTTGCTGCAAAGGGAATATAGATGAAGCAATGCAAGATTCTCGGGTAAAATTGGACCCAACAAAAACAAAATAGCTCCATTTCTTTGAGAGCAGAATCAAATATGTTCTATTGAACTAGTGTAAAACGAATAAAACTAACCGAAATCCTTATGATGAACCACATCATTCAAACCATGTATCAGAGGACCGAGCACAAAACCCCTTGGAATTATCTGAGCGCGAACCTTGTAGTGTTCCCATGCAATATCCAAAAAGGATTGCATAACCAGGCATCTCACTGCAAAAGACGTTCAAGCTGGCAGATTATGGAATAGCGTTCTAAATATATATGGATCACAGATAACTATATATCAGTACTCACCTTGAGGATTCTCATGACTGAACCCACGCTCCCACAAAACTGCCATCCAGTACAAAATTCCTTCCCAAGATTCCATCTGAGCATGAAAGGCTCCACGGGAGGTGTGATTCAGATAGTCATTCTGTGGCATAGACTCAAACAGCCGCACTACCTGAACATGGTTTTTGGACAATCAACCCAACATAAGCCAAAAGTGATTGTATAAACAATTACTGTTTCGCTGTGCTATTCCTACTTGCCTACATAGCACTAAAAGTGTTAGATTCAGGAGTAGTATCATTAAAAATATCATATTGTTGATAGCTTTTGATAAGAGAAACACTAGGAAACCAACTAACCTGGTGTGTCCAGGCTGCTTCAACTAAATGTGTCCCATACTCCTGGAGCATCTCATAGAGTAACAAGAAGACCTTCCACCGATCTTGACCATTCGAACAGTGTCCACCTGATTGGTCCATCTCTCCGACGCCAAGGGACTTGGCTTCATTATTAGCCCACCTTTCTCTTTTTGTTGTCCCAGCATTTGCTTTGATTTGAGCAGGCAAAGCAGCTGAGCTCCTGCTGGAGGAATGCTGGCTGCTATCATTTCCAGATGAAGAGGTAAAGATGCTAAGTGATATTGTTAAGACGTAGAAGGCCTGTTTCCTTACTAAAGAATCCTTGTCAACCTGGTGTATAGAAGGTACAGATGTCACTGCAACATAACATTGACCAGTAACGTTCTAGCATGAATTCCAAATTTGAGTGTATGCAACTAAGAAAAATGGTGCGGGGTTAAAGGCTCACCAGTCCCATGCGCAGTTCATCCCAGAATTCACTGACATTCCTAAGGTCAAATTCCTGGACAATGTCAACTCCCAAGACAGCGGCTTGATGTCCTGATTTCAGTGTTGACAAGTACAAAGAGAGTATGCTGTATGCATCAAGCCGCTCACCAGGCCCCAAAGGAAATAGAGAAATACAGGAATTCCATATACATTCTAGGAAACCAAACCTGCAGGCGAGAGATAACTTGAGTAGGGGCAATTTGAATTAACAACTGGTCACACATAGTTGCCAAACAGATAGACTTTAAGCAACCTCGATAGCTTATGCTGGACTGCACCAAACGATACAGTGACACAGGAAACATGTGCAAGCGAGATGAGTACAGGCTGAAGAAGGATCCGAGTGGCACAAGACCGATACTCTTGAGCATGTGTGAACATCTTGAGTACCAACTTGGAGAGGTCCCATGTCAAATTCTGAACTAATGCATCTAGATCAGCAGCACCTTCCTGGGAGGTAGGTATGGTCCTTTGCCTCTCCAACATGTCCACCAGCAATGATGCTAACACACTGCTTGAATTGGAGAGCGGTAGTAGGCGTGAGAGACTCTCCCCAGGAAAATCTGCTTCCATTATACTTTGGTAAAGCATGGAGTTGGCATCTGCAGTGGACAAACCCATGGCAACAACAGATGACTGTATGCAGAATGATACTATTGTGGCTCCTAGCAGGTCCCAGGATCCAGTGTCAGAGACTGCATCGCACATCATCACGATTACCTGAGACACCACAGCGAACCCAGGGTACATATAAAGCAAATGGGGACTACACAAGACAAAATAATTTAAGTGGGGAGTAGATGAGGAGCAGGCACCTGGTGAAAGTAGGCAGGATGACTGGGTTGGATGCTATCCCTGAGCAGGGGCAGGAAGACCCTCCACAGCAGTAAGCGCAGAGCCTCCCTAACCTTAGGAGGGCTGTCTGAAAGCCGAAACAAAGCGAGAAATTAGGCATTGTGATTACCCAAAGAGGAAGTGGACGCAAGGGACTAGTGAGGGGTTGCGACCGAATTGCGCGAGCAAATGGCGAAGCGCCGCGGCGTGGCAGATGGCGGCATGACGTTCAGACTGGGCTTGGAGACCCTGCTGCTCCCGCTGGGAAGAAGAGAGCAATCAACTGATGTTAGTTGAAGTGGAAGCGAAAGAGAGCAGCAGCAGCTGCAGCAAGCCAGCAATCAAACAACCTGGGAGGGAGGGGAGGAACGGAGGAGCGCGTGGAAGAGTTGAGAAGGTGAGGACGAGGTGGAGGAGGCTAGGACGCAATCGACAACAGCTGGGACGGCATCGGCCGGGAGGTAGCGAAAGCAGCTCTCGAGGGCGGCGACCTCACGCTCGGGAGGAGACGCCATGGCGGAAGCTTGGAGTTGGGCATCGGCCGGGAGGGAGCGAAAGCAGCTGTCGAGGGCGGCGACCTCACGCTCGGGAGGAGACGCCATGGCGGAAGCTTGGAGTTGGGAATTGGGATGCCCGGAGCCCGGCGAGACCAACAAAACCCTAGTACCTGCCCAACAACAAATGAGGGTTTTGGAGTTTCTGGGCCGGGACTTTTTGTGGTAGAAAGAGCCTGCGAGGCCCATAACCTGCTGCGGCATTTTCTCCAAGTTTGCTTTGGCCCACGAGCACACAGTTCCGCAAAATTTACCATGCACAGCTTGTGTCCAGACAACAACATGCACTGGCATTGGCATTGGTGGTGTACAACATCTGTTTTGTTTACAAGGTACAGCAACTGAACTATCCCTATCGAACACAATACAAATAACACTGGCCCTTGACTCCTTAAGCATCACTGTTGGCTACAGCATGGTTGGGCACTTGGCATCGAGAAACTCCCTGAGCGTCCGTGCAGCCTTCTGACCGCCCATTAGCTCCGCCAACCTTTCCACTGGAAGCAGGGCCAGCTCGGCCAAGCTATTGCATCCATCCATGATTGCTCGGTAGTTGGAATCGGTCACCCCAGGAAGCCTTCTTAAGAACTCAATGGCTGATGTGTTGTAATTTTCAGACCTATAGACCCAAAAAAAAAGGCATACATCACGTTTGGGCTTACTCCCCTCTGGTTTTATACGAGGTGCACGACTTACCTCACATCATCCTCCACGATTCCATCCTCAGAGGGCACGCCAACTCTTGTTGCTTTTTTCTCATCAGGTTCATCCTGGTTTGTTTTCAGTGACATAAATATTTCTGCTGTAGCATGCAAGCTGCGTGACCAGATTATGCGAAGCCGAGGAAAATGCAGCACTAGCAGCGAAAGCTTTGAGATAATGTTGGTTGGAGAGACGTCATCCCCGATCTCATTTGCAGACTGTAAAAGAATGAGAGGCCAGTTAGAACAATGAGGTGAGGTGATATCATGATTTTTCCCCCTGGGCAGGAGAGGAGAGAGGAGGTGCGGATACCTGAAAGGAAAAGCTCTTATCTTGTGAGAACTCGATGAGGAGAACCGGGATCTTGTAGTAACGTGCCATTGTCTCAACCTGATTGTACAGACGACCAGAAGCAAAGCTTTGGAACAAGTCTGTGATACTTTTCCGCTCAACACAGATCAAAGGAGAGAGAACATAGTCACCAACTTCAAGGGTGACCGGTACTATTCGGATACCTTTCTGATGTAATACATTCGGAAGGCTGCTCATGAACTCTCTCATGTCTACAATAACCTAGAAAATTGCAACAGTAAAAATTTTAGCAATCCACCAAATAGAAACAAAGCATATAGTCTGCCCACTAAGAATATGATCATAACTCATAAGCATCACCTGCATCTCCTTCTCAGGTGCCTTTTTACCACCTGCCTTTCTTGTAATTGAGTTCTGACATAAAAGAGGTTCTGGTTCATTTACAACAGTTGGTCCAATGCAACGGCCATCCTGAAAAAAAGAAGATAGATGTATTTCATGTCAGAAAAGTATGACAGCAATTCTGCCTGCATATGGCTGATTGTGATTGAGCTAAAATAAACACATGATACCGGGCATATGAACCCACATGTAGATTCATAGACAGGTGAAAAGGCCATTTGACTAAGCATTGTGGCATCATTCATGCAGTAACCACTTTGCTATGGTCAGACTGAAATTAAACTTTTAGTGACAGAGTGAAACACCACCTGATCAACAGGTATCATCATCAGGGACTTCTGTCTGATCAAAGATTCAAATGCTTCATTTTCCCGTCGAATGCTGGACTCAAATTTTTGCACCTCAGTGGAATCTTCATAAAAAAGGAAGTAAACTTTTAACTTCCTTGATGAGTTTTCTGCCTTGTATACTTCAATTTCCCTTACAAAGGTAATATCTGGATGATAAACAATAATAACAGATGGCTTCCATACATCAATCACGTGCTGGTCACTGTCTAGAGCATGAAACTGCACAGGAGGTAGTGGCTTGCCGTTTGCCAAGTTTCCGAGAGCAGATGAATGTCTAAATTTATCATTAGAAGTAGAGGCTGACACTGAAGCATCATATGTGGATGCCTTAGAAGCATCAATCTCAGCCTGTTCATCTGTTTTGCCTGATTGACCTTCAGAATCCAGATCGGTAGCTTGGCTATTGTCATTTCCCCCCTTACTTTTATTTTTTCGATTGCTGGCTTGTCTCTTTGCAGTGGTTTTCTTTGGTTTCCCCTTTGCTTTTCCCCTTGCTACCCCCTTCTTGCTGCAGCTTCTAGTTGAGCCACCACTGACATCTGCTTCATTTGATATATTTCTTAATTCAGAGGCAGCGGCAAGTAAGGCATTAGTTTCGAGTTTGCTAATGCTAACTGGACCCGCACTCTCACTAGGTCCCATTTGAACTTCACCATCCAGGACACCAACCCCTTTTGGTTGCTCAGATTTTCTCTTGTTCTTCTTATTCAATCCATGCAGCTCAGCTTTCCCAATCAAATACTTCTCCCACTCTTCTCGCATAACCTTATTGAAAACAAGTAAGTCAACATCACAAAGGATTTACAGGGTTTCATGTTCATAATTTTAGAAACAAGCTTGCATCCAACATGGAAGAAAGACACTTGTGCAAGCAAACATGGCAAGTTCATAGCAATAGAGTAGTGCTATATAGATTGATGCTGACTTCATTTAACACTCGAACAATTACCTGACAGGGGCCTTTTAATATGCATTCCTGCAGCTCCAAGCATGTGCGCTCATCTTTACATGTTACCAAAACTATGCCACTTTCATCACTTTTGTCTTCATCATGCACATTCCCAGCATCGCTCTTCATCTGTTCTTCTGCTATCTCTTGCAACAATTCCTGCAAACTTTAAAGCAGTCAACACGAAGCAAAAATAAATTTCTTGATGATAATACTCGTATCATCTGATAGTTACGGATGAGATTGCTAGTTTGCTACAAGAATGAGACAAAAAAACAGAGAATAGTTAAGTACTGGCATTTACCACAACAAACAATAGTTGGATACATATGCTACACACACCATGTTTGGTAAAATGCGAAAGTCTTCATCAATTACATTGTAATATAAAATAGATTTCTTGTGCAATGTAAATGTGCAAGTTTAGCCAAATTTGCAGTGTCCATTGCCAAACAGATTGGAGCAGATTGTTCTTGCATATAATGCATGAAGCAAATAATCAGTGCTGAAGACTGCAGGGTCTGAAAGGGAACTGAATGAAACAAAAACTGAATCACTGACCCATAACACTTTCCATTTCGGTGCCTCCTCCAAAACCTCTTCCAATACAATGCCCACATCAGTATTAACCTTCTGAGTGTTGTCCCTACCTACAGTGGAGTCTTCATTTTCTGCAGGAAAAAGGTACTTGTTACACTAAAATTCTTCAGGAAAAGCATATACCTGCAAATGAAGGGGCCAAGAGCCACTACCGGTTTCTTTTCCTTTCTTGGTAGTATTATGTGCCACTTTCCTCTTCTTTGTTGGTGTGCCCTTATTATCTATGCTAACCTTAACACCATCTGTTCTCACTGCCTGGTAAACGCGCCTTTTTGCAAGCTCAAATATCTTATGGCTTGAGTCAGAAAGTATCCAAACTGATCGCACACCTTCTGACACTCTCAATGTGTCAAGGTACTTCAAGTATGTAACAGCGTCGTACCTATGGGTCCGGTAAAGAACATAAGAGGGTGCCTAGTTTTCCTTTGAAACTAGAACTTGTATAATTCTCATAACTGACTCAGGGTCAGCAGAACATTTATATAAGCACAAACATGAAATAAGGTGCTAGGAAGGGGATGCGATCACTGAGAGGACAACACCTACCTGACGAGGTAATCAAGCAGTTTGCGTAGCGTCCTGAGGTCAGCCACAAGCTGCTTTGTCTTCTTCCCAAGAGTGTGCCAGATGGGGTCGAGCTGCCTCCGGACAATCTCATCGAAAGACTTGAAGAGGCCCTTGTCGACGGTGAGGTCCTCAACATCCACCTTGTTGGTGCGCCTAAGCTCCTTGAGGCAAGCGTCCATGGTAGCGAGGACGGCAGCCTGGATACCCCTCATGGGCGGCGTCATGGGAACGCGAACGTCTACGACGTCAGGCGGGGCGCGTTCCAGGTCGGCTGCGGCGAGAACGTGGAAGCGGGGCCAGAGGTGGAGGCGGCGCACGTAGAGGCTCTTCATGGTACGCTCGGCCTTGGAGAAACCGGTGACCATGGCATGGGGGCAGTCGGAGAAGGCGTAAACGGGGAGAAGATTGCGTTGACGGAGGAGGCGGGCGATGAAGGCGTCGGAGGAGGTATCGGTGGAGCGGTGGGCGGAGAGGAGGAGTAGGGCCCGGACGCGGGAGGGGAGGAGGCGGGAGGTGAGGAGGTCGGCGGCGAGGGCGCGGGGGGAGAGGAAGAGAGCAGCGCCAGAGGCGTAGAGGGAGGCGCGCTGCTGCGCGGGGAGGTCAGGGGGCACGTCGTGAACCTGCAGCTTTTCTTGGAGGCGGCGGCGGATCCGGGCCTTGAGGGGATCGGGGGCGGAGAGGACGAGGAGACATCCTCCCCCCGCCGCGTCGCCGGGGGTCTGGTGGAGATAGAGGAGGAGGGTAGCGGCGAGGGAGGCCAGAGGGAGGCCCGAGGAGAGCACCACCAGACCTCCGTTCGGATCTTCCACCAGGTCCGCCACCACCTGCTCCTCGAACGCAAGCATCGCCGCCTCCGCCGAGAACGCGACGGCCTTCGCCTTCTTTCCGGCGAGTCAGGCGATGAGAGACGATGATAGGCTCACTGGGCTTGTGCTCAAGTGGGCCGTAAGCCATCTTAAGTCGGCCCACGACTACCGTAAGTAATACAGAGCCCAGACGACAACAGAAAGACATCATCAGTTCACCCCGACCTATTATATTATATTATATTATATTCTGAGATCAAGAACAAACTGCATTTCTTTTCTTCTGCAGCATCAATCTGTGTTCTCTTCCATTCTAAGAGCATTGTATTAGAGCTCTCTCCTTTCTTTACACAGTGAAGCGATCATCTGCTTTAACTTTTGGCGGTGTTGCCACTTTGCCAGTCTTTCATCCAAAAAGAAGAAAGAAAAAAAAATGCCCATCACCTAGACAGCGCTAGCATTGCTGCTTCTCTTCACCTTGAAGTAGACAGGATCTTTCAGAACCTTCACCGTCACATTGCTCCACACGTCTGTGCTTGTCGGCAGCAGTGACATCTCCTCTGCGATCGCCATGTCCTTGGGAAGCACATTCCCGAACACGGTGTAGGCGTCCCTCCACTCCTCGTGGTCTGCTAAGCTGATCAGGAACTCTGGCCCTGACCCTACCCAGGCAACGGACCCTCTTTTCACCGCCGGACATGCTTCTCTTGGTATCTCCTTGAAGGGCACACCATCAACTTCCAGTGTTCCTTGAAGCAATGCATATGGGGGGCCAAATGCAGCCTAATGGTACAGAGAGCAGGAATCATCAGTAGTCAATTGTAGCCACAGGCCAAATGCCATACAAGCCATACATTTTTTTCATGATTGCCTTTTGCATCCCAGACATTCCCACGTCCTTCTGCACGATAAAATCTGCATCTGACAAAGTTGCGCAAGCCCAGAAGCTCGATGAAGTAGTCCACAGAATGGGGTGCGCAACCAGGCAGCAACTGGGTGTATAACAAGTACAAAAAGGAATGTATATCAGCTCAGGTTATGGGATATTTCCAGTTAGCCAGCCCTATAAACTGTATTTCTGCTGAAACACAAACAATATCAGCTTTCGTTCAGATCCAATGGGAATCTGGATGGTACAGGTAGCTCTATACTAGCCTAGGACTGCATGTCAAGAAATTTCGATCGCTACTGGCAGATATTTATTTGGTAATTGGTATTGCCTTGCCATGATGTTATTTTGCAAAAGAGGAAAAATGAATCAATAAACATGCACTTAGCTTTCACGTCAGCATGTTAAATTCATAATCACCCAGATGACCAGACCAGCCATGGCCCTGGCAGAAGTACCCTTTAGACAATTCATGTAGTAAATGGAACCATAGTTTTTACTTTCTCAACAACCACATCTCATATATTCTGTATTTCTATTATTATCAAAGTAAAACAAATAAGAACATACTAGAAACACTTCGATAAGCACATACAGCTTTACGGGCTTGGATGATGAGCTGTAAAGGAACAAATGGGAATGCCACTATTATATTTGGGTTGTCATGGAATACCACTTTAGCATATTTGGACTTTCGTGGAAACGAAAAGTAAGTAGTGAAACACTAATTCACAAGACCTACAAATGCCCCACCCCCCACCCCACCCCACACACACACACAACACACACAGTTAAGTAGTATGAACATATTATTTTCCTGTAGTAGGGACAAAGGGCACTCACTTGAATATGAAGTGTCCCTAGATTTGTTTCAAGCCCCACAATTCCCTGCATTAAGATAAAGCCTTCCATTAATCAAGAGATTCATGCTAGCGAATATCGTAATAAAATGGCTAGATGTATTTCCTTAGGCCTTGTTCGTTTCATCCCCAAACGGGTTGAAGGGGATTTAATCCCCTACAAGTCAAAATCCCCCCAATCCCCTCCAACCCCCTTGGTTTAGGGATGAAATGAACAAGGCCTTCATGGGAAAATCCCACCTCTTTTTTCCTTTTTTCTTTGAAATTTGAAGCATATGACAATAGGCAATTATAGGTTCAGCAAGAATAGTACTTCCCCTGTTCCAAATTATAAGATGTTTTGGCTTTTCTAAATACATTGTTTTTACTATGTATGTACACATAATAATGTATATCTTAGTGCATAGCAAAAACTACCATTTAAAAAAGCCAAGACGTCTTATAATTTGGAATGGAGGGAGGATGTCATACAATTCTTTGTATACAGTATACACCACACAGGAAGTTACACCAATGAACATCTCAAGACCGTGTGAACAGCCTGCTTGATAGTTTTTATCTTATTAAAATGGAACACCTGAAGAAGGTGGCACTATCGAGCTGGAAAATTAAACATGTCCAGGGAGCTCAAAGAATGTTCCAAATTGTCAGATAGCAAACTGAAATAGAGATTGCATGTAACCAACCTCTCCTTTTCCAAAGATTAGACCAGAAGTCCACATGACGTCCTCCCCCCTTGCAATAAGGGCAGGAGCCATGACATCCTTCTGTTTCTTCAGCCAGCACTGCATTTCCAGTGCAGCAAAGGAGTTAGTAAAACAAAGAGGGTACTTAGGTTCTGCATCCACTCAACATAAAATGCAAAGGAGTAACAGGAGCAACAATAATGACTACATTGAATCCCTGCACCGATCTTATCTTACAGAGGTAGACTTTTATTCCTGTATGCATAAGGAAAGAAAGCAAATGCTTTCAAGAAGGAAGGAAGGAAGGAAGGAAAAACAACTCGCTAATTCGTTTTTTTTGGCAAAAAGGAAAAAGATGTCCCTCCAAATAGCTTTGTATCTGAACTCCTAAAAATAAGCATTTGATAAATCTCTCATGCCTGTGCGCATGCTCTCGCTACTGCTTCTTGGAGCTGTACAGCCCAGCCGCTTGGCTACAGCCCCAGCAGGTGCAGTCGTGCAGAGGACAGCGCACCAAAGACTGTACACCTGTCCCAAGGGCTAAGGCTTCTCTTCCTATTCTCATGTTTCCATTCTCATCCAGTTCTAGTTCCTTGGGCGATTCACGGTTGCAGCCGGAGATTAATTCTAGGGTAGTAGGTTTCGGAGGTCGGCCGCAGCCGCTCACCATCCAGGTCGCCGGCACTACGAGGCCACCAAATCAAGTCAACGACGCCTTCCTCAACCCGTTCCGTACCGGCAGCGGCCGCTCCTGCACTGCGAGGCACATCCATCTTCTCCACCAGGCCGCCCACATCATCCCTGCACCTGTCTTCGGCTTCGCATGGATGCAAGAAGGATGCCCAGCAGCGCCCTGCATCGATCTGAAGCCACCACCGCGCTAACGTTGCTCAACCCAACCTCGACCGCATATGCACTTTGTCCAAGACTGACACTGCCGAGCTGTGCCCGTCCGCAAAGGGCCCCTCGATGATATCCCCTCCGTCTCTGTCAAGGTGGGCATTCATTCCGAAGCTCGCTATGTCACAGCAGATTTGTCCAAATAAAGGGAGATCTTATGAACTAATATACACAACAACAGAGTATTTAGTAGTAGTAGTCGTAGTAGTGACTTACATCAAGCTGCCAAAACCGGTACTTACATAGCACTGACAGTTCAGAGATAGCTGTTTTTCTTTTTCAATTCTAGTTGCATATAAATGGATCCATGTTGCTGCCTGTACTAATTTTACTTTTATCAATACGTTCCAGCAAAGAAAACGCAGCTTATCTTAATTCACATAAGCTACATCCTAAACCTGAAGACTGCAACTGTGTTACCCTTACCTACATTGGTTTAGGATTTGCTCTACAGAATATGCTCGGATTGATGCTGTAGTAAACTTTCCCCATTTTGCTTTGAAAAGAACTTACCTTGATCCTTTTATGGAATTTGCATTGTTTTAACTACTGTAAGCTTGGTCTAAGAAAATAAGTTGGTCCAACTATTCAACTGATTAATACCAGTTCCAATTCCTTGGCATTTGATACAAATTTCAGAGGACAACTTATCAGTGTTCACCTGATGTTTAGCTGAGATTTGTAGCCAAATCATACCAAAAATAGGATTGTATCAATTCTTTTTTTGTTTCTTTGATGTTGGTACAGGGATTCTCATGCACGACATGGATGCCAAGAACACCTCAAATTTCAGTTTTCTGCCATATTACTTTGTTTGCAATCTGGAGAGAGTATCGAACTGGTGACCTGCTGATTCCCTTCTAAGGATATAAATTTATTGACCTACTGATGAAGTGGTAATATTAGTATGTCTTTCTTTCCATAGTTCTGACATTTCTGTAGTGTTACCTTGAATTGGCAGGGACCTGGTGACCTGGTCAGCTGCTAATTCTCTTCTAAGCATAGAAATTTATGATAATCTGTTGGTTGAGTCATAATACACTGTAATTATTTTCAATGGAAGTAGGTGTTTTATTCACAGAAGGCCTAGAATATAAGCTGCAAATTCTTGTGCTAGTTCAGGAGAACAGAATTGGTGAAGGGTAATAAAACACTATTACAGAAGCGATAGATGATCTCACTGTTGGTTCAGGCTATGAATAACTCTCAATGTTACATGCTGCTGCTGCAGATCGCTACTGTGGCTGGCATAATCGTTGGTTTGCCAAGTGATTTTTAAGGAGCTTTTGGAGATGTTCTAACCTAGGTAATACTACTAGATCATTAATAATATTGAAAAATAATGCACCTTGCAGAACTGGGAAGAGGAATAAATCTATGGAAATGCAAATACTTGGCACCTGCTGGTAGATGGTAGATGAGAGAGGGGATAGAAACGGACTGGACTGACCTCCCCGAGCCTGTCCTTGCATTTGCGCTCGTCACCGCAGAAGACCCACGAGTCGCAGCGGCAGGCCCCGTCCTCGGGGTGAGGGCACATGGCCTTGCAGGCAGCGCAGCAGGCGTCGGCGGAGGGCAGGCGGTGGTCTGAGCCCCACTTGACCGCCGGGCCCCAGAGCTCGAGGCCCTCCATACCCCTGCAGCAGTCGGCCTCCGCCCGGACCGCCGAAAACGCTGCCGGGGGCGATGTCCGCCCGGCAGAGGGGAAAGAGAGGTAGGCGAGGGCTGCGGCGGCGGAGACGGCGACGAGGACGACGAGGGAAAGGACGCGGCGTATGGCGTCGGATGGGCGGCGGGTGAGGGGGAAAGCGGGAAGAGCTGGCATTGCTGCGCTTGCTTCAGGACCCAGGAGGGAATCACAATCGCAATTCCGCCGCCCCGGCGCCGCGCTCGGCGTCGGCGTGCTGCGTCGTCCAGGCGTTGACGCTTTACCGCCCAAGTGCCCAAGCCCAACCCGGCCCGACCCGGGGGGGGTGGGTCCACGGCATAAACCAGTATTTATTTTTTGTCACGTTCACTTACGCTGAAATTTAGCTTATGCTAAAATATTATATGAGAAAAATATTATTTCATAAATAAAAAGTAGCTCAAACGAACAACGCCTTTGACATTGCTTGGTTGAAAGAGTTTGGCATCGAGGCAAAAAAAAAAGGTTATTGATGCTTCCAGCAAAAAGGTGTATAGATTATTATTTTTGGCCGAGACTTAGGAGCATGGATCTTCCCTGCAAAAAAAGGATAGATGGGACCCACAATGTTTTGGGCATGATAACATCCACCGTAGCACAAAACGAGTTGAAGCATTATTCCGAATCTGACGATGAAAAGATGTTCCAAACCCCACTACATTGCGGGTGCTCTTATGTAATGGTCTAGGTTACTTTGAGAAGCATTGCATTTTTCTTGTCAGTCCAACTTGTAACCACACATCCTCACCCAGAAGCTTTCAGAGCTCGCATTGCCCTCCTATCTCGATCTATCCCTCGTCGCCCTGCCCTTCATTCTAAACTATAAGGCGTTTTGATTTTTTCTAGATTCATAACTTTCCTTATATATTTAGACATACACCATGTCTAGATACTGTCGGATACCACAAGAAGGGGTACCCTAAGCAAGAACAAAAATGTTGCTTAAACCTTGCAAAAACCAAAGCCAAAAGACTACCACTAGGTCTCTGCAGAATTCTCCGATTCACTCGAGGCCTTGCGCCGAGGCCTCATACGAAAGGCCAAAAGCGCCCCGCCGAGGCCCTCTCGCCGAGACCCTCTCGTCGAGGCCTCGCCCCGAAAGGCCTCGGATGAGATGCCAATTCTCCGATTCGCTCGAGGCCGAGCTCGGCAAACATACTCGTAACCTCCGTCCCGACCAAACTCCTCTGACGAAACGTCACGTCCAGATTAATGCGCCCAACTACTCCATCAAATGTCGGCCCGACTTCAGTGTGCAAGACAGGCGAACGACCGACGGGACGGGGGGACCGGCGCAATAGGTTACCCGCCATCGCTGTGCTCATCATCATGCTACCTAACCCCAAGCTGCTAAGGACAAAGCGACATGGAAGGTCAAGTCCATGTCCTCAGTAGTCTCGGAAACCGCAGGAGAGCCCAACTGCTGTTTTACGCCTCGTCCGAGACCCCGGCGGTCTCGGACGTACTATTCCTTCTCCGCCTCGGCCGAGGCCGGCTCGCCCTCCAGCATCCTCGTCGTCTCCGCCTCAAGCTCGCCTCAAGCGGGCCATCCCATCCGTGTAAGTACCCACAGTTGCGCCTCGTCGCCCCACGATTGGCAGGGCATAGCAACAGGGGCGATGGGACGGCGGTCAAATCTCCTTTTTTACCATTCCCCACTGACTGTGCAGGGACTACCGTGCTTTCGGGACACACGCCCTGCACTTTTCCACCTAAACCGGATGACGGCGACCACCACCGAGACCGCCAAGCCGTTTTCGGTCACCTCCTGTGCCTCGGCAAATCAGGCCTCGGCGCGGTCGGCCACAAACACCTGCCAGGCCTCGGCGAACCACCAAGTCAAAAATTCACAAGGCGCGGCATGTCACCTACAGAGGAGGCCATGCTGACTAAACATCAACGAGGACCCCTACGACTTCAATAGCCTCAGGCATGGCCGGCATGACGCACCAGTGATCAAGTACCAATTGCCATTCCCGACACTGTGCTGCTACAGGAACAGGCCACAGTACTAGATCTTCCTTCCTCGTTAAGGCTCCACGTGTAGCTCTCTCATGTACTCCTGGCTCCCTCCTTGTGGCTATAAAAGGAAGCAGCCAGGGCCGTTTCTATGGATCGGGACCACGCCGGCCCTCACGCGCAAAACGCACTCACTCAATTCACGCACGCTCCCACGCTACCTGAGAGCAACGACTCAAACAGCCCGCACCACTCCACGCCGAGACCTGGGACTAGCTCCCTCTCTCACCCAGCTTGTAACCCCCTACTACAAGCACTTTGGTGCAAAGAATACAAGATCGATCTCCTAGACTGGACGTAGGGCACCGATTGCCTGAACCAGTATAAACCTTGTGTCTCTTTGCATCAACATCCGGGATTAGGGGCATGCAGTTCACATTTACTGGTTGGTTGAGGACCCCCCGGTCTGAAACACCGACAGTTGGCGCGCCAGGAGGGGCCTCTGCGTGTTAGCGTGATCATCCCAACAAATTCCGGATGGCTGACCCCATACGTCCACTACGTCTCGGCACGGTGGTCTGGTTTGGGAGCCTAGAGTTCATGGCTCTAGGATGTGAGTACGATATGGTACTCCTCACACCCAGAGCCCCACTGGCCGACGACGACGTCGCGCATCGGCAGCCCGGGCGCAGGCGATGCCCGGGCCGCCGCTCTCGTCACGCTCGCTAGGCACGACATGAGCAGGACTACTCCGACGCCATGCGAACTTAGGGCTACGTGCCGCACTCCGCCGACATCCCTTGCCCGGCTGTTGGTATAGAGTCCCTGGCTGGGGACCTATCTAGCCTAAGCCTGGGTAGGGGAGAGACGCCAGTAGCGCGCAGCGACGTCCCGTCGTCAAGCTCTGCCCCGCCACTTCCTGAGGAATCAACTCAGGTGGAGCGGAGCCCAGCGGTGGCACCATCCCCGTACCTCTTCGGGCTGAAAAACATCGCCGCCGCCTACGCTTTCGCTTACGCCTCCGCGCACGTGGAGCCCTCGGGACACCACCAACGATTCGCCCTCAACTTCTCCACCACAATCTCGACCCACACCCACACTGAATCCTCGGAGGAGGACGAGGCATGGGCCGGAGCGGACTTCTCCGGGCTTCGTGACCCCGAGGCTATGTGTCGCTTCTTGGCCGCAAGCGACTACTGTTTCGGCCACTCCGACTCCGATGACGAAAGCACTTACGATCCCACTCGAGAGTGTTTCCACGTTGGGCTCAGAATGCTAGGGGCAAGTGATGAGGGTGAGAGGGCAGGCAACCGGTCCCCACTCCGCCAAGGGGCGGGCGACGCCACACCCCCGCTCGTCGAGTTCCGGGTGGCGCGGAACGTGAACATCGCCCCCGGGGATATCCGATGCCTGGACCTGGAGTAGCTCCGTGAGCTTCAGGCAAAAGTCGATCAAGATCGACTCCTGCTGCAGCAGCTCCGAGACACTCTCGAGCAGGAGCAGCAAGGCCGCGGTGACGGCGGAGGGGCTCGGCAGAGGGCCCACGACGTACACCGCCGCATCAACAACGACGAAGGAAGTGAGCAACCCCCAATCTTCAATCGCGCTAGCCAGAACATCGCGGCGGCAGCGATGCTAGTCCGAGCGATACCCGAGCCCTCTACCACGGAGGGGCGACGGGTCCGTGGCGAGCTCCGAGACCTTCTCGAGACCACCACAGTACGGCAGTCCAGAGCTCCGCATCTCGGCGACGTGAGAACATCTCGAAGCGGCCCTCGGTGCACGATCGCCTCAAGGCCCCCTCAGTCCACGACTGCCTCAGCGACCGACGCGAGGCGCAAGAGGACCACGACGTGGTCAGTAGGCGACGGTGCCACGATAACGACGGGCTCGCCCGAGGTTACCACCCACACCGAGGTGGCCGCTACGACAGCAGGGAGGACCGCAGTCCTTCTCCTAGGCCGCCTGGCCCTAGAGTCTTCAGCAAGGCCATCTACGGCGCTCCATTCCCTGCCCGGTTCCGGCAACCGGCCAATCTCGCGAAGTATAGTGGCGAGACCAACCCCGAGCTGTGGCTGGCTGATTACCACTTGGCTTGTCAGCTAGGTGGCACGAACAATGACCTGCTCATCATCCGTAACCTCCCCTTGTTCCTATCAGACTCGTTTCTACCCTTAGAATTTCCAAGCATTGTACAAACTATTTCTCGGAATACAATTAAGAGGCGTTCTTTAGTTGTTCTAAATTTTCTAGAAACCCACCGAGCCCATCGCGGGGCTCGGCATTACGATAACACCACGAGGAAGGCTCTGCTCTGTCTCTATAGAACCGAGCCTCCCTCGGGGGGCTAGAAGGGGGGACTCCCCCCCTAAGTCCCATGCACCATTATTAAGTCGTTTTTGAAAAAAAATCCTACGTCGAACTCTCTAGCGTGCTCTGACAAATCGATTGTGAAAGAACCTAAGGACCAAAAGACTATCTCAAGGTCAGAAGGCCGGTTGAGTCACGAGACGGCCTACTCCTCTGGGCTACGGACTCCCTCACCACCTTCTGCCCAAGGGGCAACTTAGGCTCTGAGGAAGTTTTTTACAAGAGATACGTTCAGAAACAAGACAGAGGGCAGAGGCTCGGAAATACAATAAGGAAAAACGATTGAAAAAGCATCGGCACACGATCACTTTAAAAAGGCCTCAATAGCCGCCAACATTATGATAGGACAACATAATCCCTAATCTAATTACATGGCCTCTTGGGCCCAGGTCACGGCGCAGGGTCTCCAGCATTGGCGGACGGCGGAGGAGGGACAACCTCCTCTTCGAACAGCCCAGCCAGCGCCGCGCCAGGACCCTCCGCCGCCTCCATCAGCTTTGTCACCACCTCGTCGGCCTCCTTGTCATCATCGGCAGGACGTAGCCATCACTGATGGCTTGGAGGTCAACGCCGACGTAGTGCGAGGCGATGACGGCGATCTTGCGCTTGACGCCTCGTGTCATGCGCGCCCCTCGGAGTCGCTCACGCATCTGGCCGCTCAACGCAACCAGGCGGCTCCTGAGAGAGCTTCCTGACTAGACCCCCTCGACTTCCAGGGCCTCGCAGGCAGTACGGGCGACACTCTTCAACGCATCATGCTCCCCGATCTCGGTTTCAAGCACCGCCTGCACTGCGGCGGAGGCCTCGGC